AAAGAGTGAAATATTAATTAGTTATTCAAACATGCATTCAAAAGTCAAGTACACGAGTTCATTAGCAGCGGACAGGTTGAAAAAAAATGTTAATATCACTACATATTATTATGCATATTGTATGCCTTACACAAAGATAGAATAAAATTTTAATTGCATCCCAAACACCTTATAATATAAACAGAGTTCTCTAGACAAAGACAGAAGCAGCAACACTTTTTCTCTGTCTTACAGAGATGTACTTGATAGGAATTATATTGAAAGTTGATTAAATAAAAATTAGATCTCAGAGGTAAAAATCCCATTCTGTAAAGATTTTATCTTGAAACTAGGTTTGTCATGACTGGAAAATTATTTTTTTAAAATGGGTAACAGAATTGTTTTAGCTAGAAAAATAGAATTTTTTTTTTGAGTTCTACAATTTTTTATCATAGTAAGGCTAAAGAGGAATTAAAAATATTTAAATTAAATGATTAAATATTTCATAGCAATGTTCATTCTCTATATATTCAGGGACATACTTATTTTCCTTGGTACTATTCTGAAACAAAACATCTGGGAAACTAACCTGATTTTTTAAAATTCTTTATTTCAACAGAACTGCATAATATGTCTGAATGTGGCTTTTTAAACTTCTCTGAATGTTATTAGTTAACTTGGACAGCTGGCAAAGGCACATAGGAAGGTTCTTAAGATGCAGTTTTCAATTCCAGGCTAGCACTGTAGCTATAAGGCAATCTTTTATAAATTCTGTAAGAAAATACTAAAGCTAAAATAAAAACAAACTCTACACATAAAAAGGCTGCACCTGATAACTATTAATTACCAAGCTAATCACTTACAGTGAATAATTTAACTAGCTCTATTACCAACACATAATGCAACACAGCATAACCTGCCTAATCTGCATTCCCATTTAATGTAACATTAACAGATCTGAAAAGGTGCAATTCAGCAAAAAACAAACGACCTATGAAATCACTCATATTAGAACAAAAAGCCAAGATATAAACAAAAAAGTTACATAACCATTGTTGATAGCTTCAAAATCATTTTGGGCATAAAGGTTTGGTTTTTTCTTCCCTAATCAATAACCAACTTATCCTTCTGTTTACTAAGCTTGCTGTAAACATGAGAAATTCAGATAAAATTTCATGTTCAACAAGAAAACTAATTTAGGTTCTATATTGCAGGAAAATGTGGAAATGCAGGTGCTAAGTATTTTTTATGCAAACCACTAAACATTCTGCCTTTTAAAAATGCATGCTGCAATAAATCTATGAATTATACCTTATGATACGATACAATTTTAAATATATTAGAAGATTTGGAAAGCCATTTTATCGTGGTTTAATTTGCCTGATACTTCACTTTAATACACTGAATTTATATTTAGGTTTTTTTGATCAGTACTCAATGATGTCAGAAAGAAATGGTGCACTTCCTATTTCAAGCATAACTTATTGATAGAATTCCGCTAAAATTTAATGCATTAAAAACTCCACCTCAAGCTGAAGTGTTATATTAGCCAAACACAAATAGTTTTTCGCAGATAAACATGAGCCTCTAGGAAACCAACATCACTTTTTAATAAAATCATTCCAGTTCATACAATACACATAGCTAGAAAGGCTAGATTAACATTTAAATAAATACAATATTAGTTCTACAATTTGAAACTAAGCATCAAGAGAAACAGCAGCAATTTTTTTTCACAAGCACTTGGGTAATTTTTTCCTTCCTAATGTTATACATGAAATACACTTTCATGTCCAGACTGTCAATACTAGTTATTCATTTGTCTTACAGTAAATAAAACAACTGCTGAATACACCATTTTCTTCCTTTGATTAACTGACTGGTGACAGTACAGTTCAGTTACTTTATTACATATAACCTCTCTTTTATTTTTCTTAATGTTAAAGATATATAATATTATTAACTTAAGAGTTAGTGATGAAATGTAAAAGAGCAGATTTGTAGTTTGAAAACAATCCCCAAATGCTCCATTAATAAAATATTTAGCTAACCCCTAATAGCACTACTAAGCTTCACTTTTTCTGTCAACTGGATGGATTTTGCATCATGGAGCAGAACTCACCATTGCCATTATATAGAATCTGCATCGTTTCGAACTCCAGCGCTGTATACGTTGGATCTAAAACTTCACTGTAGTTTGCCATTTCCATGTCTAGCATTGGTTCTGAGAGCCTCATCATTGAATGTACTACCAGGGGAAAAGCTGCTCAAATGTACAACTTTCTCATTCTGTTTCACAGTGATTGATAAACCAAAGTTAACTATAACTGTGTCACTTACGTGCTGCAATGGGAGGAGCTGGAAAACTGCTTCTGCATGCTATATTCTACTTGTTGGTTTGTTTGTTTGTTTTCTCTTTTATGATACAGTGCAACCTTTCTGATAATCCTGGAATGCTTTATTGAATAATCTTATCAGAAGTTGTACTAATTCCAGTTCTTGAGTGAGCCCAAGGACATGCAGGAAGCTTCCACTCTATTCCCTGCTACACATTTTGTTGTCAATGTGTGGTATGAACAGTGCTAGACAAACCACTCTGCTTTTTCTATGCAAAGAGACTGTAGGTTCATATGCCATTTCATTTTTTTTTCTTCAGAACAACGAGGAAGTGTGTTATAATTATGGACTATTCTCATACCCAAAGCATCCACCATCATATTTTAAAATATTGCTGCAAAACCTCCTATTTTCCAGCTGTTAGTGTTCTTTAATGAGCTGGCTTAGACATGTCAGCTTAAGCATGCTTAGACAGGGCCTCAAGCAGCGCAAGCTCTGTAGCAAGAAAAGCCATTTTATAGATCTCCTCCATTCCATACTGTGTTGCTGTAATGGCTCTAGGCAATTGACCTTGCACACTCCCAGAAGGTGGCTGCCTGCTCTAACTTGTTGTCACACAAAGTGTGATAGCAGCATGTTGTTTTCAGGCACCATTGAGATGCACAAGGGAAAAAAAAAAAACCAACATTGAGCTTCTCTGAAAAGAAGAGTCTCTGGGTAGGTCCAGTGCTCATCAGCTGGTGAACATGGAACGTACAGACCCAGTTAAGAACCCTCCTGTAAAGCCGCTTGAATCCGTGCAAAAGATGGTTTAATTTCACTTGTTAGTTGGTTGTATGTAAATTTGGATAACAGAATATCAAATGTTATTACTTCCCAAAAAATTATTTACAGAAGACTAGCCCTTACACTGCTGACAATGTAACCAACAGTTACATTAAAGATTAGCAAAAACTGTCCAGTTTATGTTTAATTAACAAGAGAAATAACAACAGATAACTGAAATGTTAATTTGAATGGAAAGAGTGCCTGTAGTTGCTGTGCAGTAAAAGTAGCTGCAAAATGGCACCATAAAAACCTCCTTGATTAAAAATAAATTAAAGGCAATCAATTACAAGCTCCCTTTGAAAAAAGGAAAACTTACAGGAAAAGACCTACCAAAAAAAGCATTCCAAAATTAATACTTCTAATTCCTAGTCCATAGAGGGCACAACTTATCTATGTGAGAGGTACAAATTATCCTGTCTGCTCGTGGACATACAGATGCAGTCTCAGGCTAGTTCTCCTACTGGCCCCAGTGGAAGCCAGTGGCCTAATTATGACAACAGCACTCTTGTGTAAGTGGCTATCACAGAGCTATGCCCAAACTCTGGGCAAGAGGAGTATTTACAATTGTGCTACTGGTTGCACTAATTCTCTGCAGATTTTGGAAGGTCTCCACAAGGGCTGTTCTTTTCAACTAATTGCTATTCCTTTTCCATTCAACCACCCATCCATTATATTAAATGAGATACCAAAACCCGCAGAAGTTACTACTTCGAAAAGGCACATTTATTAATGATCAATGTAAGTACAAATACTTCCTATACATCATAGAAGACAAATAATATATGGGAATTTTACAAGATATTTAAGTTTATGACTGAAATGTTAGAATATTTCATGCCAACAATTATGGAAGAAATTCTTCTCAAAGTATCATTTCACAGTGCAGGAAGCGCACAAAGTTTCAGTGTCTTTCATAATGGATAATGCTTTTTTTTTTTTTTTTTTTTTTTTTCTCTTAAAGAAGCATAGTAAGTACATTAGTAAATTAAGAATTATGAAAAGCTATTTGTTGATAGCCTATATTTGTTTAGGAAAACACAGTACTTTCATCACAAAATGCAATCATTTTATACCATCTGATGGTTCATTTTGAAAAGTTTATTCAGTAGCAGAATTTGTTGCATTTGCTACAGCAATTAGTTGCATTTGTATAGTATTTGCTATAAAACTAGTAACTAGGTACACAAAAAAATTATTCCTTGCACTAACCACACTATTAAAATAATATACAAAGGTTTACATGTTAACTAGAATTAAATTTTGTTTCTCAGTGCAAAAGTTTTAATAAGATTTTCTATACATAATTTCTGGCTTTTTCGTACCAAAATTGTATGCTGCACAAATACAAACATATCTACAACTGGATTTTTATTTCAAAATCCCAGTCCCCAAAATGCTCTGGCACATGAGTAACTTTAAAATAAAGGAATAAATGTAAGATGAAAGATACCATGTATGACACAGTCAAATCCTGCTATTCCCACTACTGTTAGCACAACTTCTTCGGTGATGCCAAAACAGGTCTCTCAGTGACCACTAAAGAGAAGGAATGAATTGATCCTTCAGACTTCTGCCATATAAAAACTTGTTTCAATTGATTATTTTTTTTAATATGGAAAAATGTACACTATAGGAAAGTAATTCTTTATACTATTTTTCCATGTTTTGCTAAGGAAACTTCTTACAGTCAAATCTTGGATTCATGAAAATCCCCTTCCTGGGGATTTCTGGCACTGCGAAGTAAATAATGAACAATTAATGTATACTAAATGGCTACTGTAAAATATTATTATGTTTTCCTTCTGCCTTAGGTGGATCAGAATGCAGAAATTAAAGCAGTTGAGGAAAAGCTAATGATGAAGAGCTTTTGGTTCTATGTCAGTCCAAGCTGACATAGCTAACTAGTATTTAGACCTCTACACAGATTTATTTTCATACTGGACACCTGAAGAGTTTTTCAAATTCTGAATGACCATGCACCTTGTAGCGTAAGATTTGCTTTCAAATTGTAAGTCAAGTTATCTGCTACTGACAGCCAAGAAATATCAGCCCTAGGCGAGCAGAAGTTTTAAAATTGTATAAATAGTCAAACTGGTAAATATTCCTTTCAGATAAGCCATACTGTAAAGTTAAAAGAGAATTATTTTTTTCAAAATAAATTTTGCAGTAATTATGCAGAAAGTTAAACAATACAGGTTTTCATGTGGTTTTGTTGGGTTTTTTCTTTAAATCTGATGACCACATGATCACATATAGAAAGCATTCCTACTTTATCTTTAAGACTATTAACTCTGTTAATTGTTCAGCTCTCCATATTAAATGTAATCATTCTTTATGATGGTGGTATAAAATAGAACACAAGCTAATAAAACCAAGGTTATTTCCATAAATGTCTTCCTGAAAATGAAAACAAATCTTAAACTACTATCACTACTGAAAGCAGGTTTGGGTATTTTTTTGTTGTTGTTTCTTCTCTTTTCTTTTTTTAATGAGCAGCAATATATTATTCTATTATTCCACTTTATTACAAAATGTAGGCACTCCCCATAAGAAAGTCCTTATTAAAAGTTGTGGTTTTTTTCTTGTATCCCACGTGTTCTAAGGAAGGAACATATCTTGACAGTGTTGCTCTGCTTTACAAGAACAGTGAGTTGTGGTAGATATACTTGGAATGCATCCTTTTTTTTTTCTGAATAAACTGGCATATTTATCTAATGTATTGGTAAAACACACAATTTGTAGGCACACATGTGAAACAGGGTAGGCAGGAAATCTGTACTAACCAAGCCTAATGAAACCACACACACTGAGCCAGAATCTCACCTTACTACCACAAATTCACCTGTAGATCTCCAAGCTGGGGAGTTTATTTGCCAGAAGCTTGCCACCCAGGAAGTGGTGTGCAAATTTCTGTACACTAGTGGGAAATCTCATCTTTGGCTTACAAAGACACACGCCCATGTGATACCAGAGACTGAGTGTCTCTCTCCTGAAACACACCCTCAGCGCCAGGGACAACACTGCCAGTTACTGTCACATCAGCTCTACTGTCACCCGCCCTCACTTATTTAATAAGCGGTGCATGAGTAATGACTGGAATATGTTTGCTCATATTTAAAACATAAAAATATGACGTGTTTGGCCTGAAAAGATTTGTAATACTGTAGTATTACCTTATTTGATAGAGATCACTGGCTTTTTCTCCAAAATAAAAATGTTAGTTGAATCACATCTAAAAATCAGTGAAATAAACTAAACGTGTATTACCAAACTTCTCGGATTTCTTGGAAAATAAATAGGCTTTTGTGCTTAAGACCTAAATATCATGATGGAAACACAGCTACAGTCCTGTACAACTCTAAAACATTACAGCAAGTCTCTAACATTGTCATGCTCCTCCTTAAAAAAAAAAAAAAAAAAAAAAAAAAAAAAAAAAAAAAAAAAAAAAAAAAAAAAAAAAAAAAAAAAAAAAAAAAAAAAAAAAAAAAAAAAAAAAAAGTTCAGAGCCAAACTAGGCCAAAGTTGCCTTTGAACTGGTTAATGCTAAAGGATTTTTCAGAACAATTTGTGAATCATGAAAATAAACGCACAGCACAACTGCATTCAGTAAGATGATCAAAGACACCATCTCATACACACTTCTCAAACCCAGCATCCACTGTCAGCTTTACCGAGTAAATTTAGAGCACTTAGATGTTTCTCTGCCTCTCCATTTTGCATCTTCAAGTTTGTCCTAAAAATATAGTGCTTTAATAAAACACTAGAAAAGCAAAGCCAGTACCAGAATTGAATAACAGGTTTTCACAGCACACTTATTAGGTAAGGTGGTAAGATAAGCTGCAACAAATCATGCCAGGTGAAACATAAGTACAAACCATTGTGGGAAATCTAGGCTAAGCCTGTTTCCATTACACACATTTTCAGACACTTAGACCAGCCCAGGCATTCTATAAAAATGAGATTCTTGCACATATTGAATCTGTCTCTTTTTTCATTTGAATTGGTGATTCATTATGCTGAGCTCCACTGTATCATACAACAAAAATACTTGGCTTTCTTTAATAAGTTATTATGAGA